ACAGTTCCTCATGTTGTGGTGACCCCCAATTTCATTGTTACAAATTGAACATAATTAAAGCATAGTGATTAATCACAAAAACAATATGTAATTATATATGTGTTTTCGGATGGTCTTAGGTGACCCCTGTGAAAGGGTCGTTTGATCCCCAAAGGGGTCGAGACCCACAGGTTGAGAACTGCTGAACTAGAGGCCTGGTGCACGAATTCATGCACAGGTGGGGTCCGGCCAGCCCGCCACCAATCGGAGTGGGGGTGCTAATCAGAGCAGGGCCTGCCAAGGGGAGGGGCTGTGGGCAGTTGGCCAGCCCCACCCCCAATTGGGGGGGGCTGATCAAAGCAACTGGTTGTTCTGTCGTTCAGGTCGCTTGGCTAATTTGGCTGAGTGGCTGAATTCTAATAACAGTAGAGCAACCCTGAGAAATAGGACAGGGAGGTGAAACAGGCCTTTATGAAAGGGGTTCGGCACATTGGAAATGTAAAGGGATCAGCCTCCTGTGTTTGGGGTCCGTTTTCTTTTGCTGTGTTTTTTAGAAGGAGGGTGGGGGCCTAAGTGTCCTTATCAAGCTGTGGTCCATGACACGTGCCCGTGAGGGAGCCCGGGCCCTGCTGCGCCCTCGCGCGGGGCAGCACCAGCGAGCATCAGTGTTTGGTAGTGGAGCCCTCACGTTAAACAGAACCACTGTAGAGTACAGTGTACTGTTGTGTTGCTGATTTTCCTTTGAAATATAAAATATTTTAAGCTTTTTTTTGTCAAAGGTGGTAACATATTAATGCAAATAAAAAACCTTTTTGTGGTTGTAAGATTTAGCTTATGAATCATTCAAATCGAAGTGAAAGACGACCAGGTCATTGTTAATGACTCAGTCTATTAAGAATATATGTATTTTTGTAAAGGAAAAGGACTTGTTGGTATTTAATATATTGTTATTGATTTCAGAGAGGAAGGGAGAGGGAGAGAGAGGTAGAAACATCAATGATGAGAGAGTATCATTGATCGGCTGCCTCCTGCACGCCCCCTGCTGGGGATCAAGCCCGCACCCGGGCATATGCCCTTGACCGGAATCTAACCTGGGATCCTTCAGTTCACAGGCTGACGCTCTATCCACTGAGCCAAACCAGCTAGGGCAGCACTTGTAGATATTTAATCAGTACAAGATATATGTCTGTTTTGCAGAAATAAAATGGTGCTTAGAGATTCTCTTTAAATATTTTTGTGCTGAAATGCATTTTCTGTTGACCTACGGAATGTTGTTTACAAAACTGTATGGTCGAACTGTTGGGCTAGATCAGGGGTGGGCAAACTTTTTGACTCGAGGGCCACAATGGGTTCTTAAACTGGACCGGAGGGCCGGAACAAAAGCATGGATGGAGTGTTTGTGTGAACTAATATAAATTCAAAGTAAACATCATTACATAAAAAGGTACGGTCTTTTTTTTTTAGTTTTATTAATTTCAAACGGGCCGGATCCGGCCCGCGGGCCGTAGTTTGCCCACGGCTGGGCTAGATACTTGTTTTTTAAAATCTAGACTTAGCCAAGTATACTTGACCATGTTAAAAATAGTATCTTTGTTATTAAAATGTGGATTGCAAAAAAGAAAAAGAAAGAAAAAAAAGAGGGTCTAGGACAGTTGGGGCTGCTGTGCACCAGTGCCTTATGGGGCCCTAGGAAGTACTCTGCTGGCTAGGTCCTCCCCCAGCTACCTCCTGCCTCTTCCAGGCCCAGGATGTGGGATCCCCCAGGGGAGAACCCACACCCACATCCTGCCTGCCTCCAGCCCGCTCTGAGCCAAACACTAAGGTCTCCTGTGAAGTGTCCACCACACACCAGCCCTCCCTTCTCCACCCGGACTGCAGACTACTCAGAGCCCTTCTGGGATGGACGGGTGTCACTGTGGCAGTACTCTCCCGTGGGAGCGTAATCAGGGTCACTTAGGTCATTTAACCTTTTCTAGTACCCAGTGTTCAAACTTTCAGAGAAATTGATCAATTTAATGTTTATAATGTACTTTGTAATATATCTAAGATATTGTTAAACCATATCTGTAATAATAAAGGGGTAATATGTTAATTAGACTAAACGTCCTTCTGGACATCATTCCTGATGTCCTTCCGGATGAAGCCGGGGCTGGGCAAAGCCACCCGGGTCCTGGGTGCCTGCCAGCGGCCGGAGGAGGGAAGCCCAGGTCCCGGGTACCGGAGGGAAGCTGGTGCCGGCAGCCGGGGGAAGTAAGGCCTACTCTTGCACAAAATTTTATGCATCTGTCTAGAGGTAGTAGTTAATATAAAAGTTCTTCATGAGATAGTTTACATTCTTCTTTCATACCACGTCATGGAGATAAGGTGTATATTCCGTATTTGTTGCACACATCAGTGCAGGCGAGCCACATTTCAAGAGCACAGTAGACATCTGTGCTAGTAGCTCCCTGTGGGAAGCATGGCTCTGGGCCCTCCCCAGCAGACAGCACCCAGGGAACAAGCCTGGACCGCAGCGGCCTGGCCTGGAGCAGGCCCTCAGGATGTTGGAGTTCATGGATGCGTGTGGTAAGGGATGCGTAAATAAAACATTAGGGAGGGGAGGAGTTTACAAAGGGATGAATCGTTCCACTGGTGAGGCTCAGTGGTTGAGCATCAACCCCTGTACCAAGAGATCACTGGTTAGATTCCATTCAGGGCACATGCCCAGGTTGCAGGTTTGATCTCCAGTGGGGGGTGTGCAGGAGGCAGCTTTCCGATGCTTCTCTCTCATCAATGTTTCTATCTCTCCTTTTCCCTTCCTCTCTCTAAAAATCAATAAAAATAGCCCTCACTAGTTTGGCTCAGTGGATAGAGCATCAGCCTGCGGACCCACAGTGGGAGTGGAGCTTGGCTAACTGGGATGAGCAGTGCCCCCACAGTAGGCCGATCCTCGCAGGCCTCGCCCCTGCACCAGTGCACAAATACGTGCACCAGGCCTCTAGTCTATATATATATAAAAGCCAAGCGACCTGAACGACAGACCAGTTGCTTTGATGAACCTCCCCCCACCCTAATTGGGGGTGGGGCCGGCCAACCGCCCGCAGCCCCTCCCCTTGGCAGGCCCTGCTCTGATCAGCACCTCCACTCCAATTGGTGGCGGGCTGGCCAGACCCCACCTGTGCATGAATTCGTGCACCAGGCCTCTAGTTCAGCAGTTCTCAACCTGTGGGTCGCAACCCCTTTGGGGATCGAACGACCCTTTCACA